TATTCTGTAAGATCTAATAAGCATTTCTCTGTTGTCTGTGTTTTTTTTCCTTTTCTCTTTCTCTCTTTTTCATTCATCATGAGTAGATATGTATGGCGATGCTGTGGTTGTCGCTGTCGGCGAAGAAGCTTCATTTCATTTTTTTCCTCTCAGCGGTCGCTCGGCTGCTTGGAATGCATCTTTAATTATGAGGATAAATTAAGAACGAATGTAGTGCTTCGCTATATGTGGATATTTCATTCGGGGAATACTAAAATATAATTTCAGATGGCAAATCATTCATAAACTTATCTCATATGTGTCTATTTCTAGATAGTCCTAATCGTTGTTTTGAGCATGATAACATGAGAATTAACTGAAGAATACCACCCGTGGAATTGATATTTTATTATACTTCACAGAGGAGCATAAGAACTTATAAAAATGAATTGAAACCAGTTCTTATTTAGTAAAAAATACAAAAATCATAAGTAACAAATCAAAGATAGACTTTCAAGGTATTAATCGTATGCGGATTAAACTTAATCTTGGAATACTAAATTTAACTTTCTGTAATTATATATCTCAAAATATATTCTGTATTCTCGGCCATACAATGAGCGCACCCCAGGAGATTGAGCTTACATAATGCTCTGTGGAGCGAGATGCTTCTATTTTTGTTAATATTATACTTATCATTATCTTATATTTGACTTTATCATAAATTCTTATTCTAAACGAGTAGTAAATAATTTTATTAATTAAATATTGTTCAGTCATTTCAAGTCACATATTGCCATAGCAATAGTATTCTTCGACGAGTATGGACAATAGAATGTTGAATATTTCGCTAGTTTATGAGCAATACTCTGTTATACTACATTCATTTTATTCAAATATATATTAATAATAATAAAAAAAACACATCCATTTAACAAACAATTGAGAACTAGACTTGTTAATTTATTATAATACTTCCTAGAAGAAACGACAGTGTTAAAAAAAACCCTGTCTTTTAGAAAAAAATAAAATTACAGCCCAAAATATCTTGAAAAAAGTACATCACAAAAGAACGTAAAATAGATAATGAGGCATTCACTAGAGCGATGAAATGCGATGGAAATAACTAAACACAGGGATGGAGATGTGAACGTGAGTGAAGCTGTTTCTTTTTAACCTACATCCACACTCACACCCTCATTAAAAAGATGCCATAAAAAATTTAAACAAACATGTTTTCTGGTTCGATTCTATTTAACCAAGAGAAAAGCCGTCAAGAAACTGTTAGATACAAAAAATATATCAATATTTGAAACGCTATCTGTAATTAATTGAACGGCTAGATAATGTGATGAATTATTTAGTAGTCAAAAGAGCAATACAGATAATTATTCGTCAATTTACCGCTATTAAACATTATTTGAATCAACGAAACTATTGATTGACTAATAACAATGCTTGACATAACAAAAGCTTCTGCCTTCTATAAATTTCTTCATAATTTACCTTAACATAAATATATTCTTATATACTGTTGAAATAAAATAAATTATACTTATCATATTGAGAGTAGTGTGAGTGAGGGCGTGGATGAACAAGAATATTCATACTCTTATCTATCAACAAATAGTGATATTGATCAACGAACCTGGACTTTCAGAGTATAGTCAATTTCTATTTGATGATTACAAAGTTACAGAATATATATCTATCGAATTGATAACAATTCTTACGCTTCATTGATTTTTATATCGATTAAAAATAAAAGTAAATTTTTTCTTCACATATAACGAGACTAACTTCATTTAGTCTACGCTAAAATATTCTATAGTAAAGGAGAAAAACAACAGTGTAATATGGCTTTTTTTACCTCAAGAACAGAAAGAAAAAATGAATAGAATCAATGTCGTCGTCTATGTAAAGGAGAAAAGGTAGCCATTATAAATATACACACGTGGTAGCAGTAGTGTACACATTCGTTAAACACAAATTTTTTGGCGATGTCGATGGGGATGGAGCAACTTTACAAACTATTGAAACCGATGGCTAATATCTACACTATTCTAATTGTATGGTTTTTAACGATCGTTAATTTCTATTTTATCGCGAAGCCACTGACTGATTATACTGTTTCAGCATCCCTAACTACAATACCGGTAGTCCTCGATACTATGACTTACTACACTTCTGATGAAGGATACCAAGTTCTATCAGACCTTGGCGAAGATGGACGTAATGCATATCGCTTGGTCAATTATAGGGATTTTATTTTACCGGTGTTACTCTTTTTATCATTGAGCTTGCCAAATCTAGCTTTAGGATCAGGACGTTATCATTTAATTAGTCCATTCATCTACATGGTTTCTGATTATCTGGAAAATATTGCCGAAAAATACGTCTTGGAAATTTTTCCAAAACGAAATGATTTTGTTATGACCTTGGCTTGTTACTTTGGATTGGTGAAGATGGTGGCCGCAACCGTCTCATTGATTATTTTATTATTGAATGTTTTGCAGTGCCTACGGAAACAGCAAAAACAGAAACGTCAATAGATTATTCTGTCTAACAGTGCATAACCATTTAATAAACAGTTTTTCATGCTGCATTCTTTTTTTTATGGTAACAGGAATTTTTGAATATAATTACTTGATATGCCAGATTAGAAAAAATACTGCAAGAGTGAGTATGGATGTGAATAAAGAAAAGATTAGTCTAACATCTTACCCACATGGTCAAGTTTAGACTCTCAATCTAGTAAGGATAAAGGTGAATTGTATTTTATTTTAGTTTTATATCAAAAATATTATAAACTCTTCTACTTACGCCTGTACTTAAACTGAAGCTAGGTACTTTCAAATGAAAATCGTGCTCATTTAATATCATTTCATTAGACAATTATTTATGCAAAATATAAAAGCGTAAGCTGTTCATAAGATTGATCATTTGCATATTTAGGCATTTGAGTTTCCAGTCGGATGGACAATAACATGAAGACTGTATAAAAAATTTCATTAAACAGTTGCCTTTTTAGAATTATTTATTCATATTTATATTGCTAATTAAACTATACTATGCTACGCATGATTTCATGATAAAAAACATCATACTCAAAAAGTACAAGGTCGAACAACAATAAGACAGACTATATAAAGAGAATGATCGTTCGCAATTTATCATAACAGTTTTAAATGTAATTGTATCAATACAATCGTAATTTATTTCATTGTAACTCTCCGTTTCGTATCCAGCTAGTAAGTTATTCAAAATGACAAGGGTTCGACTGTTTATTCATTTATAAGATTCATTTCAATTTTAGTTTCAATATGAAATCGAATTACTTTCTATGCTTATTCGTACTTGGTTTATTAGTATGTATGGCTGTGAGCCTTGCAGATGACGGGGATGACAATGCGAATATCGACGGTGACATCACTATGAGCTGCACGGTTCGATGTGGTTGGTGGAATGCTTGCATGTTCTATGGCGGAAAGTGTCCACAGCCGAGTAATTGCAATTGTGGTGATTTCGGACGGAAATAATTTATTTTACTTTTGATAACTAACAACCATTGAAAGTGTTAAATTTTAATTTGATCGAAAATAAAAATATCGATCGTAAAACTTTTAACTCGTGCCCATATCCTCAAGATTTTCGCATCTATGATAAATAATAAGTTTTTGTGAACTATAGCTGAAGAAGATAAGATTTGCATATTTCATCCGAAAATATCTTTGTATATTATTATTTAATAAAGTAACACCTTCAATATATACATTTCGAATAGAAAATAGGTAAAAATAAGACGTCATTTGTTAACAATGATCGCAGGAGTGAGCCGAAAATATAAGTTCATAATACACTCTTGGTCAATGTGCTAACGAGGATGTGGATCTGAATGCAGATAAAGAGTAGAATTTCGCTTACCTACACCGACTCTCTGCTAAGTAATCGTTATATTGTATATTCTTTTAATTTTTTATCAATGAGAACATAGTGTCATTTGTTTTGACTACAAGTTAGTTTAGTCTATAGAATATGTTTGCGATATTTAGTATGACAAGTGTAATGAGCATATTTCAGTTGGAAATTACAATGAAAGTTTCTAATTTAGATGTTTTATTTCAATTCATCATCAATATTTTGACAGATAAAAAAGAGAAAAGATATCACATATAAATCGAAGTTTATTTAAATTAATAAAATCTGAAAATTTCGGTTAATTTTCGTGATTTATGGCACACCTGGTAGTACAGCATTTGGTGGACGTCCTGTTCTTTTCATTATAGATGATTTAAGTTGATCTGTAAATTGAAATAAGACAATTATTATGCATGCTGATGATATATTAATTATTATGTAAACAATTCGAAAATGATATTTTGGTGGATAAGTAAAGAATGATATAATAATTAATATTTGATATGGAAGACAAACTGTAATTAAAATTATTATAAGTATAACTGTTCGACGAACCATTTTTAATTCTCGATGTGCACGTAATAAAATATTTGCAGGTATTACACGTTTATTCATTTGTTTCACATATCGAACTAGTTTAAAATAAATAAATATAGTTGTCAATACGGGTATTACATAGACACAGAATCCCATATAATTAATTGAGAAGGAAAGTTGAAAAGGTATTTGACATATCTGATTATTTCTATCATAAACTATTTCACCAGATAACAAAAATTCCAATGGATAAACAGAACTAAACATCCATGTTATACAAATAAGAAATATTTGACTTCGAATTGATTGCCAAAATAAACGATGTGGGTAAATGACTATAATATAACGATTTAAAGCTTGTAATAGAAATGAATAATTCATCATAGCACATACACTATAACCAAAATAAGCTCGAAAAATACAAAGAGAATCTTCATATTCAATTTGTTTGAGATCATTTTGAAATGTAAACACACATATAGACAGCAGACTAATTCCAAGTAAAAGTACAGTGAAACATGAATTAGCACTTAACATCATTGAAATTGTATGACATGTTTTATCCAAAACGATAATAAATAAGAAAAACAAAGCACATATAATAACAAAAATAGAACAGAACATTGAGAAAATATCGAAAGGAATAAACCATGATTCGACATCTGCTCTTGTTAAATTAGACATCAATGTCCTTGCCAATATAGATGATGATGAATTCATTTCTAAAAAATATTTAAGAAAGTTAATGATAAGCTTCTATCTATTAAATAAGTCATGCGCGAAATTTTAAAAAAGAAAATAAATTACACATTTTATAGAACCTTTTTTTTGTTTTCACTCGAATAATTTCTCGTTTTCTTGTTTCAACAACATCATATAATGAAAAACACAGAAGATTGCTTTTTTAAGACAATAAACTATTAAATCATTTCAATAAACAATCATGATATATTATAATTAAAATATAACTTGCCTCGACGTTAACGATGTGTATAATATAAAAATATAATATCATATCCTCATGTTTCGCTAAATTATCATTAACATGAAATGATCAACAAAACTTTATAATTAACTTTACATAGAAAAAAACTTTGCATTATGACGGAGCATAAAAAAAAGCTTTGTCTTATGACGAAGCATAAAAAAAGCTTCGTCATCGCTTTTTATTCCGCTATTTTCTGAAGTGCATTAAATACAAAAGATTGACAGTAATAGCAAAAATTTGTATGTTTCATGACATTTTCAATGAAATTCTCACAATGTTCTTCATTGGTCTCTAAGTTTGAGGCTAATCTTTGTATATAAAATTCATTGGATTAAACATTTGATGACCACATTTTTATGTTGATTATTCTTTAGTTTATTTGAAAATATACTAAGGTCGTAGATGGGTATCTCTACTCTTAACTCACACCCACACTCTGTAGTTTTAAAAGAGAATAAGATTAATTAAAACTTATTCCAAATTTAGTTTGTAGTTTATCAAAATTATTGTTGCCGAGAAGATAAAATTACTATCGCATGCTACTAAGAGTATTACTTTATTTTATAAAGAATAAAGAAAATATTTTCAAGTAATTGGTAAATAGATAAATATTAATCGTAGTTTTTTCCTGTCATCAGTCACATTCTAATATGGATTAGTGCCAGCAAATGAATATGAGGTATTAAAGATTTATGGAAAAACTTCTCTCCAGAATCTTTTTTTTAGCCTGTGACCTTATAATATTTGGCGACCTATCTGGAAAAGAAAAAAGCTTAGTTTATTAAGAGAAAAAACAATTTTTTTATTCTTTATTTTATCTTTATTTATAAAGTAAAGACAAAGTAGCACCCCTGCATGCTAATAAAGAAAATGAAAGAGAAAAAAGCTGTTAGCGCAATCCTTGGCGGGATTAAAATGGGAAACACAATAGAACTGTTGCTTCTAACTTCAAGAAAATAGTTTAATAGTATCATTATGAAGCGGCTTTTACCTCATCCTATGACGTAAATGTATAGAAATATCAGAAAGAAATAATTTACATATGTTGAACTAGGGTGTGGGTGTGGAACTGGCTGTTAATGTGAGTATGCAAGTTAAGACAGTAGACATCCATTCACATCCCCCAGACTCACGCCCACCCTTAAAATTTTAGAAAGATGTGAAAAATATTGAGGGTGGATGTGGGTGTGATTGACATATCAACATCAAACCGACACCCTCATTATACATATAATATATCGAGAGTAAACTGAAATATTCAAATATAAAAACAATAAATTCTTCACAATTGTTTAAATAATACGAGCACAAAACAATATCAAACATATTTTTTTTATCAATAAGTTTTTCTATTCTCTTTTATGCCATTATGGGTGCCACCACATTTGGTCGTCGAATTAGTTTTTTCGTTATTGAACTTTTAACTGGATCTGTAAATTTAAATAATGTAGTCATTACAAATAATAGCGAGATCTTAGCGAATATATACGCTATGCGCAAAATGATATTTTGGTGGTTCACTAATAAATCATATAATAAAAAAAATTGTAATAGGTAAACCAAGTATTAATAAAATCATAACAACTATAACTATTCGATAAACCATTTCTAATTCTCTTTGTGCACGAATTAAAGTATTAACAGGTGTAACACGATGATTCATTCCTTTAACATAGCAGCAAGCATCATTGAAACTGTATGACATTTTTTATCAAATATAATAATTAGTAGAAATATTAATGCCAGTATAAAAACTAAAAAGAGACATATAAGTAATACACTATTAAAAAGTTATTTAGTTTGTTTTTAGAAAGATATATATGCATATTTCCGTTTTTACAATTATCATTTATTTTTGGAATGAATGACATTAATTATGTTGGTTAATTAAAAATATCTTTTACATTACTCTTTTTTTCATATCAAGGAAGTCTGAAATATGTCGATGTCAATGAATATATACGAAAGACAAACTTATATCTGTCCACCATGTTGAGGTTGTGGATGCATCATGTCTATTCGATCTACACTCACCCTCAAGAGATCATTTGAATTCATTGATCTCTTACACATATCCGCACCCACACTTACACCCTCAAGGTGGTTTTTCGAAGTCAGTATTGCATAATCAACAATAGATGTTCGAGAACAACTAAATCATATCTTAATTATATTTGTATATATTCATATATTGTTTTTATTAACAGTGTAGAAGATAGATAAGGGATTCTTTAAGTAGGCGGGACAAATGAAGCAAATGGGACTTTTGAAAAAATGTGGGATACAAAAAAGTTTGTCATACAGGTCTCTATTTTAGACGATATGTGTCCATGACTTTATCCAGACTATCATTTGTAATGGCTGAATTGGATGCTTGAAGACAACTTAAAAGATGTGCCTTGTTTGCAAGCACTTGAGCTGGAGACGGTGTGCTGCCTTGAGGAGCCGGTGTAACACCGTAGAAGCAAGCAATAAACTGGTTCGATGTGATACCTAAAGCGGCGGCAATGGCTGCTACCGGACGTCTAGGATCATTTGACAAAAAGACGGGTGTACCTGTAGAAGCTGGATTTGGAGGTGGAGCTGCAGTAGCTGGAGCGGGTGGTGGTGGTGGTGGAGCTGGAGCTGCAGTAGCCAGAATGACGAGTGCAGAGACTAAAATATAATATTCCAATTTCATTTTATCGTCTTTGACTGTGAGTTGATTCGATTCTGTTGTTTTTTTTTGTGTTCGTTTGTGCTGTTCGTTTCTTTTTTGAATGAAGGCAATTTATTTCTCCTTTTATACTATATTCTTTTGCGATCATACTGCTTATTTGCATTTGTCAAGAGTGGTTGATAGAATAAAGTAAATAGAATTGTCAGGATTGTTGTATTAACGACAAAAAGCCTCTGATGTGCACATCGGCACATTAACAAAATGAATCATGCAAGCACTTGTATGGCAAATACAAAAAAAGCGTTAAAAGTACATCAAAAATAATGTACCATACTCTTAGCTACCCACATCCAAATCGATAGTTACTGGGGAGGACTAGATATAGGTTTTGCCTAAAGTACGCATTTTACAATGAAACTAATTACATATTTTAAATCAGTGCGAAATTGTGAATTAATTAGTGTTTTACCTTATCTGAATCTTGAAAATAAAAATTCTGATAATTCATCTTGAGGATGTGGGTGTGGGTGACAGTGTGCGGATGAAGGTGAGGGTGAACTATTTATTTTTAAGATTACGAATTAACTAATAATTGTTTCGATGAGACATATTATCTAATTATGTAAGGAGCGATTGCAATTGTATCTTTCTTTTATAATTACAGCCAAGAATAAAGGTATGATTATTAGAATATGTGTGAATGAGAATGAAAAGGGAGTATATGCATTCTCACCGACTCGAATATTCTTTTGATATTAAGATTCTCTCTTATGTCATTGAAACGATATCGTCGCATGTGTTCCATTATTATTTCATCCAATTTAAGTGAATGAAAGTGATGCTCAAGATTTTGTTAGATTTCTTATTCATATTATTTATTTAAAATAAAACATTATTTCAATTAAATAGTGGTTTTCGATGATTTGCATAAGCAAATGGTGAGACACGTTCAGCATAATGAACATGAGGACCAGTTGATTGTCCTGTATTTCCACTTTTAGCTATTTCTTGTCCAGCTTTAACTTTATCACCAGCTTTAACTAGTTTTTTACTTAAATGTGCGTAGACATGTTGAACAAGTTTGCCATTCGTATCTTTTGTTTCAATAATAACATGTATTCCTAAACCTGCACCCCAATTTAAATTCTTAACTGTTCCATCTTTCGTTGCTACTACTTTTGTTCCAATGGGACAAGCATAATCAGCACCTACATGATAACCAAGTACCCATATTGAACCTTTCACACCATATGCTGTTGTTATTTTTTTACCAGGAACTGGTGATACACAATTTACTTGATGAACAATACAATCAATAAAAATAACAACAATAACAATGAATAAAACAGAAAGGTTCTGTGTAATAGCCATAATGTCTCAATTATCGTACAAATTTTTGAAAAAAATCCTGAAAATATATATGAAATGAAATAAATGATTATTTTAACGTCTTAAAGTGATTTAACATGGCTTATAAATATTTGATACTTAATTGAAAATAGATTTATTCGCTTTCAAAAACTTTCAATATCTTGTTTCAAAAAAATATCCGTAAAAATAGATTTATAAATGGGTAGGTTGAAGATTTACAATATCAAATAACCATTCCACAACATTGATACTAAGACTTTGTTTTTTCTTTTTATTCAAAATGAAATTGTTTTTGTGTATAATTAGAAAAAGGTAACTGAAATAGTGTGTTGTGATTTGTCTATAAATTTAATCAAATAATATTGAAAAATATCGTATTAAACGGGTATAATTATTCATACCTGTATTTCAACCGTTCGCTGCAGTGTTTTGATTGAAAAAATATGCGATTCTATCATACTTATACAGAAAGTGTAATATTAATAAAATGAAAAGATGGATTGTAAGTGATGAATTTTAAAGAATAGTTTTCAATATAAAAAAATGAATAATTTAATTAACTATTGAATTGGTATAGAATCAGTATCAGTTATATTAGATAGTCTAAACAATGAAGAAGTTATGTACAAGATAACGATAAATGCAATGTGATGATGTGTTATAAATATCATACGTCATTTTAAGTAGTATAGTTTAACAAATATTTTATCTTGTAGTCAGATGATGAGGAACTCCTTATACTTTAACACTAAGCGAATTATATTTTATGAATTTCTTTCATTTGTAAGAATACGATTAGTTTACTTTCAATGTATAGACGATACACATTTAGGATGGCAAAATATGAATTTTTCAATTATTGACAGAAAAGAAAAAGAATTGAATTTATGGTAGAAGAATAAATAATGACATGTAAAAAAAAAGTCTATAACTACGAACAAGTAAAAATGTAAAATATTTATTATGATTAACAAAAATTGAATTGTTCTATGACAAAACCTGTTGTTCGATTTTCAATAGCATTTCACTCATTAGATTGGATTCTATTATTTATATTTATTGTACTAATTTGGAATTATCGATTATGTTCATATGTAACTTATTTCTATAGTAATGATGATTGACAACTATCTCTTAATGAAAGTGATGGACTTGTTTGTGAATCAAATCACCTTTGAAATAAACGTAAATATATTTATTAAACTCAAGAAAAACAAAATTTAATAAGACGTTCAAATAGTTATTATTTTGCGACAAATTGGGAACCGAATTTTCATTGTTCTCATGCTGAACGTATTGGAGCTATGGGTGATAGTGGTAATGATACTCAACGGAATAATTTATAAACTTGGTCAACTATTATTCAGAAATTGGATCATATATATTGACCCATCGATATACTTAAAATTGATATTGAAGGTGAGGAATATTCATTTCTTTCGCAGATATTTAAATCAATGAAAAATATATAACCACGATAAATTCTCGTTGAATTACATTCAACAAATATTACTATTATTCAAGTTATATTTGATTTCATGCGTAAAAATAATTATGTTATTTTCAATAAAGAAAATAATGTTGACGGAGGACCTTATTTCTTTGAATATGGATTTTTGAAATTAAATTCACAATTTTTTCTTCGTTCCTCATCTAATACATAAGTTTTTATTATATATGATGTATTATTTATTTTATTTTATTTTTATTTTAATAACTTTTGCGAGATTTAGAAGAAGAAGAAGGAATACATAATTAATTAATGCAATAAATATAAAGCGAAGAGTAATAACAATAAAAGATTAGAACAAAGAGAAATAGTTGTTGATGAAGAAAATGCACAATTAATACATCGAGTTGTATTGCTCATAATTTGGTTCCATGATGATGTAGTTTGCACTAAAATATATACGTACGATTATTTATATAAATTATTACTCTTAAGAAATACTTGGACTTGTTGAAGAAAGTTGCGTAGACGATATTATTAAACTACTTGTAATTGAAGGTGTTGATGACGATTTCGAACTAGCCAAAGTTGATGATGATGATGATGGATTATTACTGGTCAGCAATGGGGTTTGTGTCGAGAGAATATCTATTGAAAAAAAATATATATATAATAAAATCTAATTTTCGTAAAACTTACTACACGAATTTGGATTTGTTGCTAAATTGAACATTTGTATTCGTGCATTATTTTTATCTGTAACATAAATATTTCCTTGACTATCAAAACTCATGCTATAAGGTTGATTTAATTGAGAAGGTGTTGAACCTGTTTGTTGAGAACATCCAACTAAACATCTATAACCATAAGGACCTGAACCAATAACACGATTTGTATTTTGATCAACAATAAATAAATATCCATCAGCATCTAAAACAACATCTGATGGTCCATTTAAATCAAAGGTTCCTGTGGTCCCACTTCCTGCTATTGTTGTTCCATTCAATTGTCCATAAGAAAACTTTTGTATTCTATTATTACCACCATCAGCTACATATAAATCCAAATTAATATCAACAAATATTCCACGAGGCCAATTTAACAAATATGTTGTATTTCCAGGAGTACTATTTCCAGCAGCTAATTGTGTCATATTTCCAATGCTATTAAGAGATATTTTAAGAACTTGATTAATCTTAAGAGAACAATATAAAGTTTGATTAATATCAATAAACAAACCATAACAATGTCCACCACTCAAATATGTTACAACAGTACTTTTTGTTGAATTCATTATCCATTTATTAATTTGATTATATACATTACCATTCTCAACATAAATATCACCATTGTTTAATACAAATAAACCTATTGGATCATTGAGACCACCAGATACTGTTCTTGTTACATTGTTTTGTCCATTTTGCCATACTTGAACACGATAAGAAGTTCGATCTGTTACATAGATAGTGTTATTTCTATCAACAAAAACAACACCAGGATTTGTACCAATTGTAGTACTATTTGCAAATGTAGTAGCATTTGCATTCCATGTTGCACATGGACTGAATTTCGGCCGATTAACTGATACACCTATAAGAATAATAAAAGAAAAATATTCATGATTTCACGATATTTACTTGAATTTTGACTGTTAACCAACACAATGCATAAACAAAGATAGAGATAGATAATGAACAATATCATCATAAAAGTAACTGTGATTGTTTTACTAAAGGAATAGAAAAAAAATAGTTAAAGACTAAATTATAAGTCAACTTACAAATACTATTTAAAGTATGCAACGCAAGTATAAAAAACTATTTGTTTGTATTGCAACTGCTTTCGACGGTGTCTTTATATAGTAGATACAATTACATTCTCTCAGATAGGAATAAAACTAGTTTTTTTTCAGAGACTACTCAAAAACAAATGGAAAAAAGATGATTTATTTATTCATTTAATTTTCATAAGTATTATGAACATGTGATAAAACTTAAGATGTATATCTTATGTAATCAGTGAAGTAGAAAAAATAGTTTAGTAAATAATTTCAAAAAAAGTACTGTAAAATAGTCTTACATTTGGTTAAAGAGTAAAAATCCTGACTTTAAAATGTTTTAAATTATATCAACAAATGAATATATTCAAAATAGTTACTTCCATTTTTTTATTTCTGATATCGCAAAAGCAGAAGAATTCATTTTAAATAGATATCTCTATTATCGTTCAAACTAAGATTACGATTGACTAAAAACATTTTACTAAAAACTTGGATTAATCTCAAGATCAACTGGTCCGAAAATCAGCAATGAGAAAGTTAAAGAGTCAGGAGCAGTTTTTCACAAAATTTAGTCTTATATCAGTCTTTAAATTTATGAATGTGTCATCGATTTGATAGTTTATTTTTCTCTGAATCCAACATTGGGCGCTAACAAATATATTATGCATGACTAAATTAAAATTGAATTTCTGGAAAAATTTTGTAATTATTTTCAAGTATATTTTTACAAAACAAAAAAAAACAGATAGAAAAAACTTGATATTTAATTATTTGTTTTTTTATTATTCATTACGATATAATTACATATTTAATGAACATTGAAATATTAGATGAATACTAAGAAAACACAGAATCGTGTGAATCAATCATTAAAGAAAAGACAAATATATGACGTATTATATGATTTAATTGTTAAAAGAAAAAAACAATCAAAATAATATAGTTATTGCACAATATGTTGACAGTATTTTTATATTTTCAAATATATTCTGCTATGATGATTAAGATGTTTTATAATTAACATACAAACAATAAAGAATTCATTTATAAGAGAAAAACTATTACAATCGATTGTTTCATAATGAACTCAAACTGAATTTTAGATTCAACGCAAAGATTATTTTTACTTTGAATTATGTTAATAGCATCCTTTTTTTTGAAATAATTGATATAAAATCAGAAGATTTAGTAAAATAAAGAATGAATGTGAGCAAAGTTGCAAATATGACTACTATTTCAGCTAAACATCAAGATTCATCCTCGCTCACATCCTTCGATATATTAACTGGAATAGAAGATCGTGTATGACATATAATCCAAAAACTGACAATAGTTATAAAATATTACTAACAAAAGTATTCATCAGGGTGTGTGGATATGAATATCACAAAAACGTTTCTTCCACACATACATCCTGATTATATCTGAAATTGTCTCGTATGAAATATGAGGAGGTTCTTTCTATCACGATTTAGATACATTTACTTATCATGCGTACTATTATATTAGAAGAAAACATGTAGATATGATTCTTATATTTGTTCTAATTGTCACGTCAAGTCTGGGTTCCTTCACCAGAAATACTTCTGCTAGTTAAAAAGGTTTTGATCAAATATGTTAACATTACTCGTTCATCCAATCGTATTTACGTATAAAAGAAAGAAAAATAAAATAAAATATATTTTTATTTCTCTCTGTCTTCATTTAATAATCATACCGAATAATATAATATCATAGGAAGAATATTTTTCAAAAATGACAGTTGATAGCATGTTGAAGATATGGTTCTACATTCTAATCATTCTTCATGAAATAACAAATGCTGCAGGTAAGTTTTAATGATTTATGTTCACTGATATTAAAACATAATTCTCTTTCGATAATAAATATACATATCAAACAATCAAAATCAAATCAATAGTTTCTATTAGAAATAAATATCTCTCAAATGATTCTTATCATATTGTGTTGGGAAAGAAAGAGAAAAAAGATAATTTATTTCTACTGGAATTTAATCTGACAAAGAGAATTCTGAGACGACTATTTCTATATTAATACACTATAGAACATTTTCCGTATTTTCTCCTTAGAATGTCAACAAAACAAAAAAGTTTTATTGATATTTTCTTGTATTTAAGCCAGAGCACAAATGATTATGAGAAAAATATTCAAATTTTATTTTTTTATCAGATCAAATTAAAAGAGATATTAGTCAGCGGCGGCGCGAGCGGGAGGGGGGTACCCTCTGCTTTTAGAAAAAAGACTGAATTTTCTCCTATTTTGCCATTTTGGATTAGAAAACTGGGGTAGGTCTGTAGAATCCTCTAAAACCTAAACCAAAACCCTTTTTTTTGGTCATTAGTTGAGGTTTTTGGATAGTTAAGACGGAAAATTCTAGAAAATTTTTCTAAAATCCAACAAAGCTTAAACTGAAAAATCTTTTTTTTTCTTTCTCTGGTTTTGTGACTACCCCCCCCCCCCTCCTGCTTTTAGCCCTTCGCGCCGCCACTGATATTAGTATATAATAATTTCTATATTTAAATGAGAGTTAATTTATATGTAAACTGAATAAATTAGATTGTTTTTTCTAAGATGAAATGTTTTAATAATTTATTTTAAATATAATAGAAATATCTTATAATCAACCAAAATTACCGTCTTGTCCACAATGGGATCCTTACGGAATTACATTTGCAAATGAAACAACAGTTGGAAGCGGTCCATTAGATATTTTTATTGATAGAAACAATACTATCTATGTAACTGATGAATACAATGGAGAAATTGAAATTTGGAATGTGGAAGATCTCGTTCCAAAAACAATTAAATTAGATGATTCATTTGAACCTTGGGGTCTTTTTGTTACAATTGATGAAAATATCTATGTCGGCAGTGAACCTAATAAAAACGTAGAAAAATGGACTCTGAATGAAACAAGAGGTACTATTGCGATGAATACATTTGATTCTTGTCCTGGAATGTTTGTTGATATTAAAAATAATATTTATTGTTCGTTGGGAGAGAGTCATAAAGTTATAAAACAATCACTTGATAATGACTCAAACATAATATTGGTAGTTGCGGGTAATGGTAGTCAAGGATCTGCTAATAATATGTTAAATCGACCTCGTGGAATCTTTGTTACTATCAGCTTTGATTTATATGTTGCAGATTGTTTCAACGATAGAATTCAATTATTTAAATCTGGACAATTAAATGGAATAACAATAACAGAGAGTATCAGTACATCAAGTTTCAATCTATTACGTCCAACCGGTGTATTCTTAGATTCAGATAATTATATATACATTGTAGATAATGCAAATCATCGGATTATTGGATCCCGATCAACTGGATTTTACTGCATAGCTGGATGTACAAGTAAACCTGGCTCAACATCAACTCATTTGGACTATCCATATGCAGCTGTTTTCGATAAGTTTGGTAATATTTTTGTTACTGATCAAGACAACAATCGAATACAAAAATTTCTTTTAATAACAAATAATTCTAGTAAGTTTATCTATAGAAAAATCTTTTTTCAAAACAATTCATCAATTTAACTAAAATACCTATTATAAGTATATCAATCTCTTGTTGGAAAAAGAGTTGTTATATTAAATATTTTATATAAAATGACAAATTCTTAACACTTAAAATAATATAAATCATCGCGACGCTCTCATAGAGAAATTTCATTTTTTGTGTCTTCATATTTATTTAAAATATTCCCAACTTTGTGACGTTTGCTCAAAGGGGAGTAAACCGATTTCTTGATTTCTAATTTCATTTTCGTGATTTTCTATGATTTCTAGTATGGAAATTAGTTGAGGGTGTGTGTGGGTGTGGTTGGGTGGGTGTCCGTGTCGGTGTAGATACTATATTCATCTGGCACCCACCCACACTCGCATCCTTTTGATTTCTGTTGATTTCTTTTTGATTTCTACTTATTTTCTAGTATGGAAATCAGTTTGTTTTTCCTTGCGTCTGTTTCAGAAAACTATTAATACAATAGATTTGAATTTCTCTCTTTCAAGATCTATATTATTTAATGATTCTAAAGCATGTTTATCTTCATTCTCTAATTGAGCTTAAAGCTTTGTTTAACTACCATGAAGAATTTCATTTATTTGAAAATAAATATTTTAAAAATTAAATTATCCTACACAAGAAATTTAACTTGTCTTGTCGAATTTTAAATTTCTTCTGTTTATGTTCATTAAATAGATAGTTCACCCAGTATTCAATCAACATATTCATCAACATTAACTGAAAATAGTCAAATATTTGCCCCAACTGATTGTGGAAAATTGAATTATTATTATGAAACCATACAAGTAGAAGTAAATGAAAGCGGTTGTTATAATCTTGTTAGTAAAAGTGGAATAGATATCTATGGTTATATCTCTGAAGACTATTTCAAGCCAATTATTCCAACTGAGAATTCATTCTCGCACATTGGTCCATTCTATGCTAATAATCAATTTAAACTTGAAACATCTCTACTGATCAACACTAAATATATATTGGTTGTAACAACACTAAATCCAAATATAACAGGAAACTTTTCAGTCATTGCAACTGGACCAAATCATGTCATTTTCAATCGTATTAGTAAGTACTTCGAATTTATTTGTGATTAATCATTAATGAATTAATTAGTTCTTCTCAAAAGAACTTCTACAAAGATTCATTTTGTTACTTGGTAAAAGTTTCTCTATCATATTAAATGATTTTTATTTTTGAGAAATAGTATTTTAAAGCATAATTTCAAAAGTAGGAATTCATTGATAATCATTTTTATTTATCTAATGATTATGTGAATATTGACTTAATTTATTATATTGAATAGATGTATCATGGAGTATACAAAAAATCTATTCATCCCAACTGCCTATGAATGATCAGGTCTTTACACGTAGTGGTTGTCAAATGTTTAATTATTACTATGAAGCTGTAAAAATCAATGTTATTGAAAGTGGTTATTATATTTTTACTAGTAATAGTACTATGAATACATATGGATTTATGTATGAAAACGATTTTAATGTATTTCGACATAGAAAAAACTTATTATTAGAAGATAATACCAACGGTTGTAACGGTCAATTTAAAATTTCAATTCAACTTCATACAAATACTACATATGTATTTCTTGTAACAACATATCATCCAAATGTAACTGGAAACTATTCATTGCTTGTCTTTGGACCAAACAATATCACTCTAAACCCGATCAGTGAGTTTGTCAGGTTTTGTCAAGCACGATCTAATTTTGAGATAGAAATTTGGACACATTTTCACCACGCCTGTAGACATCAAACATTGCCATAGACTCGATAAGAAATCAGCATTAGTAACTAGTTCACATCTTCATCCTAGAGAGAATGCACAAAGATTACATGACTCTCTAGCCGGATCGAAAGTTATATTGAAAAAGAAAAACTAGCTTATATACTAGATTCAAGTTTCCACTAGAACTTTCAGATTGAATCGATATACTATTTCCATATTTTCAACTCATAGATGTTATGTATGAAACTCGTTAATGAGTGTATGTCAAAACATGTGTCTATTTACAATCATTACTTGTAATTTTTTCGCCACCTACGAATATTTTTTCAATAAAAAGATGAAATAAGACTTTTATCATATTCGAACGGATTGAATTATTTTCGACTATTTTCGAGATACTTTGACTATTTTTCTTAAAAACTACTAGAACGAGCTAGTAATTAAATCGAGAATATGATTACAATAGTCAGAAATATTGATATAGCTATATGAGCTAACTTCTATTCTTCTTATTTACTTCAAGATCAACAATAATCGACAGATAACAGACAAATTTTTTCTAGTTAATTTTCATAATTTGTTTTGAAATATATTTTGTCGTAAAAAGATCTTAAAATTCTTAGTTATCATATGTTTTTTGTTTTGATCTATTTATAATAAATCATTGATATATTCTATTGTGTTAAGATAATCTTCCACAAGTTTTTCAAAATGAATACTCATCAGCATTAATTACAACTAGTCGAGAATATGGCCGAGAAAAATGTCAATTAGCAAATTATTATTATGAAGATATAGAAATGAATGTGATGATATCTGGTTCATATACTATTACAAGTCATAGTAATATAAACACATTTGGATATCTCTATAAAGATCGTTTTAATCCATTAAAACCTCTTGAAAATAGTATCACTCGAAATGATGAAAATTGTGATAATAGTCAATTTCAAATTGTTTTCGATCTTTATGCCAATTCAACATATGTATTAGTAGTAACAACATATTTTCCAAATATAACAGGAGAATTTCTCATCTCTGCATCTGGTCCAAAGAAGATCAATTTCAATCCCATTGGTATGTATTTACATTTTAACAATAATTCGGAACAAAGACATAAGGTACTAGGTGTCCCGAACACCTGGTGATTTGTCCAGGTGTTCCGAATTGACTTTTTTTACCGGGAGTCCGTGAAACATATTAGTCAGGAAATCACAATTTTAAAATATACACGGAAATCGAAACGAAATGCTCCACAATATGTAAAATATTGTCACGAAATCGGGTGACGGTGTGGATGTTCACGTGTAGTATGAGCGAAGAATAACTTATACACCCACACCCACCCACACCCTCAATATATCAATAAATAAATATGTTGTTATATAGATATTCAAACAATTTATACATCAATATTAACAAAAGATACTCAAACATATTCTCGAGTTTGTGGTCGAACACAATATTATTATGAAACAATAGAAATCAATGTAGAAAATTCAAGTATCTATAGATTTGATAGTAATAGTAGTATTATTATATATGGTTATATTTATGAAAATAATTTTAATCCATTTAATCCAACTGATAATTTAGTTACACGAAGTAATTATAGTTGTGGTGGATATGAATTTCAATTTACCGCTTATCTTCATTCTAATATAACATATATATTAGTTATAACAACATTTCATTCAAATGTTCAAGGACCATTCTCATTAATTATCTATGGATCAAATAATATCACTCTCAATCGTACTAGTAAGTAAACATTTATATTATCAACAAAGTTTAAAGAAATAATTTGATTTTAGTTAATAATCGTGATGAGTGTATTGTTGGAGATCGGTGTAATTCTTATACAAAAGGTATTGGTTTAACTTTAGATGATATTTTACGTAATGAAATACGACGTAATACAACAATAAATAATCAATCATTTTTAATAAAAATCAGCATTGCTCTTACGATAATTATATTTGTTGGAGGTTTAATAAATAGTATTCTTTCTTTAATAACTTTTCAAAATTTAGAATTACGAAAAGTTGGTTGTGGAATTTATCTTTTATCATCATCAATAACTTCTCTTCTGACAATATCAATGCTAACAATTAAATTTTGGTTTGTTATTTTAACACAAATAAATTTATCTGTTAATAAATCAATTCTTCAAATTGGTTGTATATCTATTGAATCGCTTCTTAAAGTTTTTGTATATGCAGATACTTGGTTAAATGCTTGCGTAGCTGTTGAACGAGCTGTTAATGTATCTCAAGGAGTTAGATTTAATAAAAATAAAAGTAAACGTATCGCTCGTCGGATAAGTATAATATTACCATTATTCGTTATGATTACACTTATTCATGAACCCATACATCGTCATTTATTAGAATATACAACTGAAAAATATACATCACAACAATATGATTATTCGACAAATGAAACAAATCAAGATGAAATAAATAATAATATAAATGATACAGATAAATATGAAATGGAATATCATATTTTATGTGTGATTAATTATTCTCGCTCTGTGCAAGATTATAATACAGCTATTCTATTTTTTCATCTTGTTACTCCATTTATTGCTAATCTTATTTCAGCTTTTTATATTGTTTTTGGTACTGCAAGACAGAGATCGATAACTCGAACTAAACAAACTTATATAAGGCATATACTTGAACAAATAATTGAACATAAACAATTAATAATTAGTCCTCTGATTTTACTTATACTTTCAATGCCTCGATTAATTATTTCATTAATATCTGGATGTGTCGATGTTTCCAATAATCCATGGTTATATCTTTCTGGTTATTTTATTTCATTTACTCCATCAATGCTTATCTTTGTTGTTTTTGTTTTTCCTTCAAAATTATACATGAAAACATTTAAAGACTCGCTTCAGAAATGGAAACGATCGATCTATTCGTAATAAATTTCCTTATTCATCATGATTACTTTTCGAAAGTGTTCTTAACTTGAGAATGCAAGCTAGAACTTAATATTTTAAAAATAGATAAATGTTTATAAGTGTGAGTTATTCTTTGTTTTTTTTAAATTTTTCTTTGCTTCTTGTGCTTCTTTGTCCAAGAATATTAATTAACTTTGCAATTTTGTCTAATTTTCTTTTCATTGGCATACTTAAATGGTAGATTTCTTATTCACAAAGTTGACTTTACCAAACTGTCTGTATATATTTATAACATGTACGTTATGATCTAATCCGTTTTCTTTGTATGTTCTGTCTATCTTATCCTCCATCATTTCCTTTTCTACTTTCTTGTATCATACTCTTTTTTTAAACTTATAAACTGTTAGGACCCAGTAAGTCATCAGTTATCTGCTAATAAAAAAAAAGTTATTGTTTGCTTATCATCATATCTTCACTTATATTCTTGATAGTGTTCTATTTCAAATTAAAACCAAATTACTTTGTTTTTCTATCCATACTGAAGAGACAATATTATCCGAGAGTGACTACAATATTCAGTGTTAATCTAGGACCTGTGTGTATCATTGCGTTCCTCATTCATAATAATGCCCACACTCTCGATGTAAGTAATCGATAAAATGTTTAAAACTAGTTTAGTTTGTTCTCTCTATTAAAATATTATAATTCTATCAATCAACTTGCCAGCAATAGTTACGAGTGTGTGGGTGCGGGTGGATGTATCGCAGATGGCATTCACCGACACCCACACCATCAATCCTAAACACTTCAATACTCCTGTTAGATCATATTTCACAGAAGAAAATACATATATATTTTAAAAACATGTGAATGTATTTGAATTATAAGAACACATTCATAGAATGCTTTTTTTTTCAATGAATAATAAAAACAAAATGTATAGTTATTTTTAGCCGACTTATTTTTTATCTCTTATTTTTCTAGATAATTCAATCTCTAAAAGAAATATGCCGATGGCTAATAAGTACTGTACACAAAGCCAAATTTATAGATTATGATAGCTTTATTCATTCACATCCTCTCCAGATGGTCCTAATTTCTGTGACAAGCTCTACTCCACACCCACCTAGTGATAGTAGATACCCTTGAATTTGACCAAAAAGTATTGAAAAAACACGTATAATAATAATTGATGTCTTGTTGATTATGAACAACATTCATAATAATAAACATTCCTGACATGTGGAATACTTGAGAGATTTATATATTTGGCATTACAAACTAATGTCTACAAAGGCTTCATTAAGAGTGAGAAAAATGTAGTTTATAAATATTCAAGAAGGATAAGGAAGCAATTGATCATTGTTCGTTATCGCAGACATTTAATGACTGAAGCTAACACGCGCCCATTCCTGTGGAAAGAAAATGAAAAGCATGATTTTATAGCACTTTTCTTTTTCTCATTCTTATAATAGACTTGTTCTATTTATTTGATCTACATTGCAGTCGGCATCTATTTAAGTGCTAAGTAGAAATATATAAATGCAACATAAAAAAATTACATGCTTTCTAAGTAAAAAAAGTTTTTTTGCTAAGTAGTCTATTTAAATTTTAAGTGAAAAAAGTCAGGTTTTCATGAAAAATAATATGAATTGATAAGTATATATATATATATAACTTTTGCTAAGTGAAAAATTCAGTTTGAATAGTTAACTGATTAACAAAGCTTGCGTTGTTTTTCATTGTCGTCCTTGCTTTCTTTTGGTTTATACAGTGAATAATGTCTTCGTCCGACAACAGTTCAGACAATAATGATGATTTGTTCATTGATTTCGAAGAAGTATCTATTCCACGTTCAATTCGTTTTTGGATTATGCTTTTGTTCAACATCTCATCAATAATTTGTAGTTTTTGTATACTTATTCATATAATTTATAATCGAGCTCAACGATATGCATTGCATAATCATGCTATTCTTCTTGTATTAATCATGGCTTTACCTATTCAGTTGATAGATATTAATTTTTATCTTGTATTCTATCATTATGGTTCTATTCAACCATCGAAACCGTTTATGTGTCTGTTATGGTGGCTCACTGATTATGGTTGTTATAGTGGATGCACTATTCTGATCGCTTGGTTAGCCATCGAACGATACATTTTGATATTTCACGATCGATTGGTTTCAAATCGAAGAGGACGATTTCTTTTTCATTATTTACCTTCGATTAGTATAGTGGCGTATATCGTTGTGTTCTATATCATTTCTATTTTATTTCCACCTTGTGAAAATGATTATATCTATACGTTGCCAGCGTGTGGTGCTGCACCATGTTACCAATCATATGGTGTTCTGGCTATATGGGACGGTTTTGTTAATAATACCACACCAACTATCTTAGAGAGCATTGTAAATATCGGTCTTATTTTACGTGTTCAATGGCAAAAACGACGACTTCGTCAGTCTAATCAATGGCGTAAACAACGGCGAATGATTATTCAATTATGCTTGATTTCAGGCCTTAATATGTGTTTAAATCTCCCATTAATAACATTACTTTTGGTACATTTCTTTGGCCTACCACCGGAATATGGTGCCCAACCCCAACTTTATTTCTTGTTTCTTGGCTACTTCGTTTTTTTTCTCTTTCCATTCGCATCGTTATGTCAGTTTCCAGATTTGCGTAAAAACCTTACAAAGAAAATAGTTGATATACTTCCACGACAACAACCGCATACAGCTACTGTTGCAACTATAGCGAGAGCTATTCCAACGAATAGATTGGCTTGATCTAATTTAACAATTTGATTTCATAAAGATGTATTTGTTCTACTTTGTAAAAATGAACAGTCTTTTGATGTAGCAAATTTTGAAAAAACGACGAAGAAAGTGTGATATGTTTTGAATTATTGAAATCAGTTCATGTCACCGTTCACTTTTGTGCGTTCTTCTCTATGTTTTGATTTTACTCTCACGTGTTGTCTCGTTCGTATTTTTTATTTTGACACATTTAAATATAACCATATCCAACATACCTTTACATAGTTGATGATTTTTTTCAATAAATCGAATAAGTGTAATAGTTATATTCTTCTATAGGTACTATCCATCGTGAGGGTGTGGGTGTGAGTGTGCTTCAAAGATAATTTCAAGCTACTTACGACGATCGTTTCGAACCTTGCTTAAGAGTTCACCATTACCTAAATTCTGCACAACATTATTTTTATTTTATTTTTCCTTATTTTTCTAAAATACGATCTAATTCATGATGACCGATTGTTTTTACCAGTAATCTATAGCTTTCCTCTGTATCCTATCTGACAGTATTTTTCCACGAATATATATGCTGTTGTTTTGCAATGTTTTCATCCAAAAGATATTTCGTCCTCATTATTAACGTAAATTTTACAAAACATAAATGAAATTAATCGATTTAGTTTAGTCTTTGCTAGACAAAGAATTGCCATGCCTATATAATAAAATCATAAAAAGTGAATCAATCAATTATTACTTATCTACTATATAAAACAAGAAGCTGTTAAGGCAATCTCTAGCGAGATTGAAATGTAAGACACGACCTAACTCTTGTTTCTAACTTCAAGAAGATACTTTATTCGTATCATTATGAAACGGTTTCCATTTATCCTTGTGGCATAAACGTATAGAAAAATTAGCATTTTAACAGTTGTTACAAAATTCAAGAGACAAATTGCTTAATATAAATGAAGTTACTAACGTATCTATCTTTCTTAAATAATATGAGTTCAATAGGCATGTTTACGATGCAATATAGGTCATATTCGGGGTGTAGTGAGTGCAAATTTTTGCCCCTACGCACTTCTTTTAGATCGTATTTCATAAAGTGTACTTGTTGGCATTAAAATACCTTTACAAATGCTATATAAGATATGTATGTGAACATTATATTTATCAATAAATATTTGAAATTTTGCAATTAATGTATGTATTACAATCGTGAACGACGAAGTCTTAATATGGATCACGATCCCGCATAATCACACAAAACACTGCCTGGATGTGGGTGTATCATATCTATCCCACTTGCACTCTCACCATCACCCATTCGGAAGATTATGATTGTATATACGCTAAATGTGAGAACCTAGTCTATCCTTCAATTTGAGTTTTCTTAACGTCAATTAGTTGATCTAAAACATACAAAATTCTAAATAGATGAATTTTATATTTACAAAAAATCGTGTGATTATTTCAAACAAGAATAATTATCTGTTAATTTGTTCGACAAAAAAAAATCATATCATATAGTAGTTTTATCTCTAGTGTCATAATGATGTTGACATTTAACCGAATGCAATAGTTACGTGTATAATAAATCAAAAGCAAATTGTAACGAGTGTTTGATCTGTAGCTGTGTACGCTCACGTGGTTGACATCATAAAATTCTGACGCTGTGTTTACAACGTTTGATTCTTGTTTTGCGTTGCTTTTTTTATTCCATTCTTTCATATTTTACGACTACGCTGACGTCTGAAGTGAGATAAAATATGAGAGAAAGCGCAAAAGTTTGCATACGGTTGAAAAAGTTAAACAATAAATATATTACTGGGAAAAAGTAAGCATCTCTACTGAAGATATGCGTCGTGCACGGTCTCCTTCGCTGTTGGACATCTCATCCACATCAGCAAAACAACCGTGAGTTATAATCTTCGATTATCGCTTGTTTCTCTTCAAAATATAACGATCATTTTAGTAAGATGCAAGACATTCAACAAGAAGTTGTGTCACTTCCTCGATCTTATCAAGTATGATGTTTGTTTTTTCTTGGACAAGATTAATATCATCTAAAATCTATTGTAGACTGAATTAATGGAACAAGCTAAAGTAGAAAATTTGGTTATATGTTTGCCTACTGGTAGTGGAAAAACTTATATTGCTGTAATGCTTATCAAAGAAATGGCACATGACACTCGTAGAAGTATTGACGATGGTGGAAAACGAACAATATTTCTTGTTAAAACAGGTTGATGTTTCTATTTTAAATTTGTTATTCATTAGAATAGTATACTTTAATTATAGTTGCACTTGTTCAACAACAAAGTGAATATATTCGTATTCATACAGATTTAAAGGTTGGTAAATATTATGGCGAATTAAAAGTCGATCTATGGGATAAGGAACGTTGGATTATTGAATTCGAGCAACATCAAGTACTTGTTTTTACAGCGAAAGTCTTCCTCGATCTGGTCGATCACAACTATTTCCGTACGCTTTTGATTTACTATGTAAAATTAACGATGTTCTATTGTATTTTAGCATTGTATAAAGTCAATTTGTTGATTTTCGATGAATGTCATCACTCAACAGGTGAAAATTGTTATGCATCATTGATGAGAAGACATTACGATACATGTCATGATCAACCACGTATACTTGGTCTTACAGCATCAATTAGCGCTAAAAAACTTAAACTTTCGCAATTGGAGACAACTGCAAAACAAATTGAAGAAACTTATAGGTAAAGTTACACAACAAGGAAATCTACAGAATCTTTCATCAATTATTTACATTTATTTATTTTTGTCAAAGAGCTCGGCTTGCAAGTGGTTCAGATCGAGAAGAAAGTGCTCGATGTGGTACATCAGCTCGTGTCGAACACATCCGTTGTTTCAGTTACAAGGAATATATCAAGACATCTTATGAGAGTATTACAATTGCTTTTGATGTAAGATTTCTTTTTATGGTATTGTGTCTATTAAAGAAATTCTGTTTTTAGACAATTCAATCGATTTTGCTGGATCTAGAGCCTTATGTGAAAGCTAAAAAAGCAGAGCGTGAACGAATTGCACATGATCTGAGTGAAGTAATGCTCACGGAAGATTATCTTGGCGAGAATGTAACTCAATACAATAATCTTTCAGTAGATTATACAATTTTTCTTCAATCGGAATATGTGAATATACCTCGACTTAAACGTTACCTTGAACAATTAATTCATGTTGGATATGAACTTGGTCTCTACGGACTTTTTTTAGCAACTAAAAGCCTTCAGAAAGCTTTGAAATCATCCCAAGCACTCGATCTAATTTCAGATGCACAAGGAAAACAATTATTCGATGATTCTCTACAACGCATTGATTGTCTTGTTGATGATATTCTTCAAGGTTTGATCGATATCAACCAAGGCAACGATGGTGTATTATTTAGTTCTAAAGTACTCAACTTATTTCAACGTATTAACACTGATGTGGACAAAAATAGTCTTGTCCGATGTATTGTATTTGTTGAGCGTATCTACACAGCAACGGTATTAACACAAATTTTGATCGGTCTCATGAATAGAATGTTACCACTGAATAATAATCATCTCAAAATAAAATATCTTACTGGGCCTAGAGCAAATATAGGTGATGCAAAGATGACTGCAAAATATTTGGTTTGAAAAAAATTCTTTTTGTTTCTTTATAAAAAAAAATACGATTATGGAATTTGTTTTAGCAACAAGTGATCAAAGAATTTCGTACTGGTCAAGTACATGTCTTAGTAGCTACAGCTGTAGTTGAAGAAGGTTTGGATATTCCAAAATGTAATCTTGTATTTCGCTTCAATAAACCACCGAATTTTTCTTCATACATGCAATCGAAAGGTCGTGCTCGTGCTAAACAAAATGCATCGTATGTACTTCTTATCGATGAATCAGATGAACAAAAAGATATAACAGATTATGGAACTTATGAAGATATTGAAAAGGTCAATTTTCTACTTTTTGTTTCTCGCCTATATATATATATATATATATATATATATCAAATTATTTCTATTGATTATTGTAGAAGATTCGAGACGGATTTTCCATTGATAATGATGATGATTTTAATACAGATGATTCAAATCAATTAGAGCCATATCGAACAGGAAATGGTGCTGTTATCAGTGCAGTACGTGCCGCACAGATTATCTACGAGTAAGTGATAGATATGAATATTACGAAATTGTGTCGTTTTTTATTCAAGATATTGTGCAGTTCTTGGCAATGGTCGAATATGTCCACCGCGAATACTCTTTTCTGAAACTGATCATGATACATTTACGAGCATTCTTTCAATGCCAGCAAATTGTCCAGTACTGGATGATATTATCGTGAGTTCGGCTTGATCTTTGATACATCTCAAAATATTCTTAATTTTATATTACTGTTTAGTGTGAAGATAGAAAGAAAAAGTTGGCTAAATTTCAGTGTTGCTTAAAGATGGTTGAATTACTTCATCAACGAGGTACGATATAGATAGTTTATTATACAATACATAAAGTAATGATACGATTTATTCTCTTAGGAGAACTGAATGATCATTGTTTACCACATCATCAACGATCATTGATAATGAACGATATTCCAATAAAGAATCGTCTATTCAAATTATGTGATGAATTATTTGAAAAGAAAAATGATAGTACAATGGAAAAATTTCCGAAACAAGTCGGTTCCATTTATCAGAAACGTTAAAATTGATTAAAATATATATTTTTATATATTAAGATCGCTTCGTTTCCACCTTCGACTACTGATTCATCAAATATTTGGTATCTCTATCGAATTAGTATACGATCAGAAAAAGATAAATTTGGTATTATTGTACCAACTAAATTACTCGAAGTAAATACATCTTTTGAATTAATTTCTTTTGATTTATATGTATTTTGAGTTGCCAAATTTCAATCTATATGCTGCTTCAAATGAAATACTCACCGTTGATGTTGTCTATGTTAAAACCATCGATTATGCTAAGCACCGACATGAACTTGAACGTTTC